CTGACATACTTTGGACATGTTGCAAGGAGAGACAGGTCTTTGGAGAGGGACATCATGCTGGGTAGAGTAGAGGGACAGCGTAGGAGGGCAAGACCCTCTATGAGGTGGATTGATTCAGTGACGGGGTAATCGGGATGGGTGTGTCAGAGACAGTGCGATTGGCACAGGACAGAGCAGGGTTTAGGGCTATTTTACATAGGGTCGCTATGAGTCGCAAGCGACTTGACGGCACATAACAACACAACAACAACCACCAGAAAAGAAGCAAAAAGAGATTGCAATATCCATCATGGTCAGAAATTCTTGTGTTAGCCAAACCAGGGCCCACTGGAGCATCAGCCATAGCAGCCAGTAGCAGAGAACCAGAGACCTGACATGAGACAGAAGTGACCTTGGTATTGTTTTGACACAAAATCAGAACTAAGAGTGGCCTTTTGCTCATATTTGTTGGAGAACTGTGGGGGAGAGCCATAAGGAGTGGCACCCACTTCCTAAACAACCTCTGGTAACTCTATGAACTTTGATAAATGTCAATACTTGTACAGGGACTTCAGGCCTTTTGTTCATAGGGTCACTATGAGTCATGCTCGACTCGAAGGCAATCAGCAACAACAACAAGAGCCTAGAGCCATGAGACTGAAGGCTGGAGTGCCAGTGAGCACATTTCAGTAGCTGCTCTGAGTAATTGCTTTCTCCTAATAACCTGAATTACATAGCCTTTGACTACCCTAATATGCCTCTATGTACTCTATGAGCTATTGCAATGGTGTTTAGCCCCAGTAAAGCAATATGATAAGAAGTTAGTAATGATTGAAGGGTCATAATAAATGAAAATAATCTTTGCTCCAAGGCATTTACAATCTAATGATAAAATTTTAGTTCATATAGAATAAATGAGGATGAAAAGAGAAAATAATACAGTTACCTAGAACTGTCATACTATATTACTTAAAGCTGCTGGCTTTGGTGCATTATCTAAAACATAGAAGCTGCTCAAATAGATGTTTATTGAAAGATAACAAAAAGTATCAAATGATCTACAACTAGTTTCGGACATGAAATAATCTACGTTTCAAACTATTCCTTATCTGATCTATCCTCACTTCTTCATTTCTAAGGGTACAAGAGTGCAAAGTTCCTGCCAGGTCATTATTGTCATGTTACTGATGATTCTCCTAAGCGGAAATCTCTTCCTTAGAGTTGTGCCTCAGCTATGACACTTGACATTTTATTTCTCACTATTAAAACCTTTGTGGAGCTTTGGTTTTAAGCCGCTGTGCTGCCAACTGAACCACATGCTGTCCGAATCCACTAGCAGCAATTCAGGAGCAAATTGGGCAATTTCCTCTCCTGGGATTTCCTTCCTCTGAAAACCAATGGGAGGGAAAGTTCTGAGTCAGTTCAGAGTAGAAGGCAATGAGCAACAGTGGGTAAGCATTTGCCTTGGCAACCCAAACGCATGTGGTTCTAATCCACAGGAAAACGATGGGTCATTGTCTCCAGAGCCATTTACTGTTTCTGAAACCCCGGGTGAAGGTCAGCTACGAATTAACTAGACAGAAAACAACAACATTAAATACTTTAGGAGCAGGTTTTTATCTTCTCCTTCAAAGCATAAAGCTGTCAGGTGCAATCTGACTCAGCCTTTGTATTTCCAAAGTGTATTCAGTATGAGAAAAAAAAAGCAAAGAAAATATATTTGTCTAACAGATAGGACACTGGTCTACAGCATTAACTTCAAAGGATGCAATTCCTGCTATTGCCCCCCACTCTCTTTTGAAGATTTTTAGCACGGAATCCACAACTGCGTTCCAGCCTGCATGCCCCAGGCTGACGTCACAGCCCAGCCCTTGAACTACTAATCCCACAATGCCGCGCGCGGGGGGGCGGGCTCTCCGGGAGATTGGCGAGCGGAGGAGGCGGTTCCTTCCGGCGAGAGGGCCGCGGAAGCGAGCACTTGGGGTGCTTTTTGCGATTGCTTAGTGGGTTGGGCGGGCCGTATCTGGGAGGGGTCTTTGAGGGAGCCCCAGGCTCCCCCGCCCGCTGAAGAGATGGATGAGGACGGGCTTCCTCTCATGGGGTCGGGCATAGACCTGACCAAGGTTGGTAAAAGATGGAGTTGAACTTCTGGAGTCCGGGGAGGAGGTCGAGGAAGGGACGCCCAGTTCCCGGAGAGACGCCACCCCTGCAGGCTGCACCCTGTGCTTGGCCCCTTTTTCTGCTGTGCTCAGCAGGGAGACACCCCCCTTCCCATTTCACCAGGAATGGGGTCCCTGCTGTATGAGATGCTTTGACACAGTGACGTGGGCTCAGGATTGTCCGAGAAGATGAGATCGGCTCCCGATAGAGCAGGGTTCAAGAGCAGGGTTCCTAGGGTCGCTATGAGTCTTCCTGGACTCGAAAGTACCCAACAACAACAATAACATGAACTAATTAGGGATTTTATGTTTCTCTCATTCTTAGCCTTCCTAGTCACGTGTATGCCAGACCCTGGTCAGCTGACACTTCGGGGCGGCTTCACCCTCCTTAAGGGCCTGTTGGCTTCAGCCTCCCGTATTTTTATATGCGTTTGAGTTGCTTTTACCTTCCAAAAAATATGTTTCTGAGTCCAGGATGGATCCTCAAACTTTTCTGCATCCTCTTTCGTCTTCGGAAACCCCACCTCACGATAGAGACACACAGATGGATTGATGGTTTTCAATCCTTTTAAGAAATTCAATGTCAACACAGCAAGAAGCCCTGTAATGATGCCTCTCTGTCTTAGGGATCGCACGATGTACGTTCTGCTTGTACAAATTATGTTTATTTTTACATAACACAGGTGCCAGCTATTCAACAGAAAAGAACGGTGGCATTTCTAAACCAGTTTGTGGTGCACACAGTTCAGTTCCTCAACCACTTTTCTACAGTTTGTGAGGAGGTAGGTCCTGTCATGTTGGTTTGCAGATTCGCCTAAAAATGACTACATTTTTTTGAAGATGACAAATAAGAGTTTAAAAAGAATCAGTCCTGTGGCTTCTTGTCACTCAATTCTATGAACACTCCTTAAACCCTCTTTGCTTTCATAAACTTCATCTTGTAGGGTGCCTTTCTAAAGGTTGAATTGACTGAATAAAAAGCGGTAAGCCTTTTTCTCTTATTACACTAGAATCAGATGAAATATCTGGCAAGGGTTTACCCCTTGTTATTAGGAAGGAATATACATTCCATCTCTATACACTTTATCACAAGAACAAAAAATAATCAGGCAAACACTCCTAACAGGTTTATCAAGATGGTGGAAGCAGGGATAACCCCTCACCTTTGTTGAGCCTACTAGTTTTCAAAGCCTGCAGAGTGATTTCTCTTTGAAAACGAGAGCCCAGATTAACAATAATCATCTCTTAATCTTCTAATTGTCTTATTGGATGGCACAGGATAGGACAGGGTTCAGATCTGTTGTTCATAGGGTTTCTCTGAGTTTTACTCCAGTTTAGGACATCTGATAACAACGGAGCTCCTCTCAATGACATCTAATGACAACAGTGTCTACTAATTGCTTTCATGCCCTCTGCTTCAGGGTTTTCCACATCCACTGCCCTCAGTTATTCACCCACCGCTTTGGCTGTGTCACTACTTCCTAGTTCTACTTTCTCCCACCATAAGATAAAGTTTATTGACCAGAAGCTCTTTAAGTTCATAGATAATAACCGAGTCAATTCTAAGTCATATTGTACCGTTCACAATTTAGATGCTTGGATAATATTTCAGTTACGGACTGTTTTTGTAAAATACATTGAAAGTAGTTAAAATTGTTTACCAGGCATTTACTAGGGAGCTCTGGTAGCCTTGTAAGAAGCTCCATTGCAATCCCACAGGCACGTGAATCAAATCCACCAGCTGTTCTGATGGAGGGATGGCCATTCCCTTGCCATGTAGTTAACTTCCTCTAAATATCTGCTGGAGAGGTCAGCTATGGGTCGGTTCTAACTTGACCTCACACAACAAACAGTAACAGGCGTTTGCTAAGTGCTATACATGATAACCATTACAGCCCTGCCACTGAGAGAAAGAAGTTCATATAAGCCAAGTTTATATAGAGGCAGAAACTGAGATATAGGGAGGTTTCTGGCGGTTAGAATCCAACAGTGGCTCTGAGGGAGATAAATGGACATTCTCTTCTGTGCCATGTCTAGTCTTGAAAGCCCAGTGGAGGGTCATCTATGTGTGAGTTCTGACTCACCAGCCGCGAGACAGCGAAACTTGCCTTTATTCTCAGCTAGAATCTGTTAGAGCTGGCGTTTCATCTTGTCTGTTGAAGAGCTCAAAACACCTAATTACTCTGTTACATTACTCCTTCTCATCTGAAAGTTATTTGCATCATTTTTAAATGAGAGTACAGTGATTTTTTTATATTTATTTCAGAATTGTTTTTTTTAATTGTGATTTGAGTGAGTTTTACAAAGCCTGTTGGTTTTTCGTGCACAACTTGGGCCAAAACATTAATTACAATGACTGATTATCTATTCATTCCATAATATTAACCTCTGTCTAACATTCTTTGGACATGTTGTAAGGAGGGACCAGTCCTTGGAGAGGGACATCATGTTTGGTAGAGTGGAGGGACAGTGCAGGAGGGGAAGGCCCTCTATGAGGTTGATTGATTCAGTGACTGGGGTAATTAGGAGGGGTGTATCGGAGACGGTGTGATTGGCACAGCACAGAGCAGAGTTTAGGGCTGTTGTACATAGGGTTGCTATGAGTCACAAGTGACTTGACAGCACATAACAACAACAATAATTTATTATCTGCATATTACATTTCTGTTTTGCTCCCTGGTCCTTCTAACTGAACTAAAATGATTTGTATGTAAATCTTTGACATGAGGTGTTTGTTTTTTTTGCTGTGCTATGTACATCTGAAGTAATGCTTTTTGAGATGATGAATTTCAAAGATCTGTGTAATCAAATGATACTTCTGATGGAGGTTCAGCTATAAGACAGTTCTGACCTGATAGCAGTGAGCTTGCATCTCTAGTGGCCCTCTATAGGAGGGAGTGCAAGTTCTCTGGCTCGCGAGGGTAACACTGAGTAGACACAAAAACTCGTCATGAGTAAAAGGTTGAAGATACTGTCTAAACAGCACTAACGTGCTTTCCTGACACTGGCTTCTATCATGCTTAGAGTTCTGGACTCCTAATCTTTTTCTCTTAGTCTAAATGTTTTTTTCTAAAAGTCTTCAGAGAAAAATGATGATAATTCTCACATGAACTAAACATATCTGTAATACTTAATTTTGGCATAGAGTATTTAAGCCAGCCATTAGACTTAATCCTCTACAAATAATGTTTTGATTAAAACTTTTGTTTGCCACCATCTTTTACAACCTCTGGGCTTAAATGTCACATAAAATTTAATAAAACATTGATTGCTTTTCTTTTTGGCTGATAGGACCAGTACAACCAGGGGTATATAGAAAAAAAAATTCATTGTTTCTCTTATAGAGAACTTGATGCTCTTCTAGAGAATTTGACACATAAACTGGAATAACCTTTACTTTCTTATCCATATTTCTTCTTTTTTATCCTTTTCACTTTGATAAAGCGTTTGACCTTAGAAATATTGTTACTATTTGTCACTGAGTTGGAACTGACTCATAACTGACCATCCAGTCTGTTTTGAGAGGCAGTAAATTACACAAGAAGAGATTTTCCACCCTTTTCCTGCAGCCTTGGAAATAGATGGGTATTGAATAAGAATTTCTCTGCTAATTTCAGGTACCTTGTGATTTTGCTTATTGATTTCTTGTAGGGATGCTGGATGTGTTAAATAGTGATTTTCAAAGGTAATATGCAACTTTCTGGTACAGTCATGCTGGGTATTCCCTCCATCTTCTTTTGGGGCTTTCTAGGTCATTCAGTATATTGCCCATAGCATCTTTCAGTATTGCAACTTGAGGCTTAAATTTGTTTTTTCAGTTCTCTGAGCTTGGGAAATGCAGAGCAAGTTTTCTTCTTTTTATTCTCTAATTCCAGCTCTCTGAACATTCCATCCCGAGCTTCCCTTTCAAATCTTCTGTTCAGCTATTTTATTTAGACATGCTTTCCTTCTCTTTTGGCTTCTCAGTGCTCCAGTGCAATGGATGTCTTCTGACATCCATTTTTATTTTTTTTTTCTCCTCTGTTTTTGTAGTGATTTTTTGCTTTCTTTGTGGATGACATCCTTGGTATCATCCCACAACTCATCTGGTCTTCGATCATTGGGGTTCAGTGCCTCCAACCTATTTCTAAGATGAACTTGAAATTCAGATGGAATTGATTCAAGATCATATCTTGGTTCCTGTGGACTTACTTTAATTTTGTTCTGTCTTGATTTGAAATTGCATAGGATTGTGAAGAGATTGAGATAGTTAACAGTTTTAGTTTGCTTGGCTCCACAATCAACACTCTTGGTAACAGCAGCCAGGAAATCAAGAGACGAATTGCATTGGGAAAGTCGGCTGTGAGGGACCTCTCAAGAGTACTGAAGAGCGACGATGTCAGGCTGGAGACTAAGGTGAGCTTGATCCGGGCTATAGTCTTTGCAATTACGTGCTATGCATCAGAGAGTTGGACAGTGACTAGGGATGATAGAGAATTGATGCCTTTGAGCTTTGGTGCTGGAGAAGAGTGTTGAATATACCATGGACTGCTGGGAGAACAAACAGGTTTGTCCTGGAGAAGGTGAAGCCGGAATGCTCCTTGGAGTCAAGGATTCTGAAGCTTCGTCTGACATACTTTGGGCATGTTGCAAGGAGGGACTGGTCCTTGGAGAGGGACATCATGTTTGGCAGAGTGGAGGGGCGGCGAAGGAGAGGAAGACCTTCGATGAGATGGATCGATTCTGTGACTGGAGTGGTGGAATAAGTGCGTTTGAGATGGCTAGGTTGACACAGGATAGAACAGGGTTTAGAGCTATTGTACATAGATAGGGTCGCTATGAGTCTCAAACGACTTGATGGCACATAACAATAACAATGTATTTTAGAAATGAACCTCAGTAGCCTACAAAGTGAGCCAGATTTGTCTTTCATTAACAATGGCTCTTGAAAAAGTATATATTCATGCATTTTGTAAAAGTAATTATGTGAGAACCAGCTCAAAAATTTATGCTGAATTTGAACAGTAGACCCATTTGCAATCTACTGAAACCAAATGAATGATTTTTAATGCATAAAATAAAATGTGTAGGAATGTAGAAGAACTAATTAAATATCTTTATCAAATGGTGATTGTTATCAGCAGTTGACTTGGAACCACACATAGCTGACCCTCCAGCAGGTTTTCCGAGTCTGTGCAGAGATTGCCCTTTGCCCACGAAGCAGTGGTGGAAATTAAAAGATGAATTGCATTGGGAAAGTCTGCTGTCAGAGACCTCTCCAAAGTACTGAAGAGCAACGATATCAGTCTGGAGAGCAAAGGTGTGCCTAATCAGGCCATAGTCTTTGCAATTACTTGCTATGCATCAGAAAGCTGTACAATGACTAGGGAAGATAGGAGAATTGATGCCTTTGAGCTGTGGTGCTGGAGAAGAGTATTGAATAGAACATGGACTGGCAGAAGAACAAAAAGGTTCATCCTAGAGAGAGTGAGACCAGGCTGCTCCTTGGAGGCAAGGATTCTGAGGCTTTGTCTTACAGACTTTGGACATGTTGCAAGGCGGGATCAATCCTTGGAGAGGGACGTCATGCTTGGGAGGGTGGAGGGAGTGCGAGAGAGGAAGACCCTTGAATTTGGTGACCAGGGTAATGGGGGTAGGTGTGTCAGAAACAGTAAGGTTGGCACAAGATAGAACAGGGTTTAGGGCTGTTGCACATAAGGTTGCTATGAATCGCAGGTGTCTCGATGGCACATAACAACAGTGTTTTAATGATTTCAAATAAACAACATCTATGTCAGGACATTACTATGATCAGAAAATTATGATTCTTACTGTCCATTTAGCACAGTAGCATCTTAGCCTTAATAAGAAGCTGCTGCTGTTGTGTATCATCAAGTCAGAAGCAACTCAGAGCCGACCTTGCAGTGGGTTTCCAAGGTGATAAATCACACAGGAAAAGATTGTCCATCTTTCTTCCTCAAAGAAGCTTGTGGATTCGAACCATATGCTTTTTCAGTTGGCCATGCAACTCTTTATCACTAAGCCACCAGCACTCCCTAGTGAGAAGCAGATGGGTCATTTATAGGCTTTTAAAAAAAAAGTCTGTGTAAGCAGAACCCAGGAATTTTCTATCATGTTTCAATGATATTTTTTTTCTTAAATTCTAAATCAATGACTTAAGGATCATAGGAATAGAATAGATGCCTTTGAGTTGTGGTGCTGGAAAAAGTATTGAATATACTGTTGAGAACAAACAGGTTCATCCTAGAGAGGGTGGAATCAGACTGCTCCTTAGAGGCAAGGATTCTGAGGCTTCATCTGACATACTTTGGTCATGGCACAAGGAGGGACCAGTCCTTGGAGAGGGACACGCTTGGGAGAATGGAGGGACAGTGCAACAGAGGAAGCTCTTGATGAGATGGATTGATTCTGTCACTAGGGTAATGGGGTAGGTGTGTCAGAGACAATAAGATTGGCACAGGATAGAGCAGGTTTCAAGGTGGTTGTACATAGGGTCGCTATGAGTCGCAAGCAACTCGATGGCACATAACAACAACAACAACAACAAAATCTGATGGTGGATATTCTGGAGTTACAATGTTTGAATTGTTATTATTTAATTTATATGATAATATAGTTTTCTTATCTTTAAAATTGACGCTTGTTATTGTTGGGTCCCTTCGAGCCAAGTACACCCTTAGCAGCCCTATTAACAACGAATCTGAACTCTGTCCTGTCTGTGCCATTCTCACAGTCTCTGATACACTTGAGCCCTTTGCTGCAGTCACTGTGTCAGTCCATCTGATTGAGGGGCTTCTCTTTCACTGACCCTCCCCCTTTCCAAGTATGATGTCTCTCTCCAAGAAGAAACCTTTCCAAGCAGCATGCTCCAGATGTGACATGCATTAGTTCATTCTTACGTAAAGTAAATGCTCAAATGTTTCAGTATTTGGTTTTGCCTTTTCTTTATATTTTAAGCAAATGAATTTAGGCGTTTTAAAACTCAAGTTATAAATTGCCACTTGACAATTTACTATAGGATTTCTTCAATTACCAAGCTTTGCTAATGAATTATAAGACTGATTAAATTTTCCAACACTTAATCCCCTTGGTTTTCAGTAATACTCCTATCACTTAGAGAGATATTCAGCTGCCTTATGTTTTATAAACTTATTTTTTAAGTTTATATAACTGTTCTGTGAACAAATCCTGGATGGCAGGGTTAAACAGTGTGTTCAGTTTGCATGTCCTTAAAGCTAGATCTTGGTGTTTTATTTCTAAGTTATAGCTTTGTAGATAACAAGATACTCATCTAAAAAAAAAACCAAAACCAAAAATTGTGCTTTGAAGGAGCACTAACTACTCTGGGTTTTTTCACTTTTTCCCTATCTAAATATTGGCCAAATGGCTATTTCTCAGGGTGTTAAAGTTCTGTTTATGAGTTAGTCAAGATCTTGATAATATCCCAGAAAGCAGTCAGAATGTAGTGGGTCTGCCAGCTCTTACTGGCCAACTGTTCCTTGGACTGTGTTATTGCATATAATAATGTTTAGGATTACAGCTTTTCAATAAATTTTCTTATGGCTATTTTATAATGTCATTTTGATTTGTGTATGTGTGTACATCTATAAATGAGAGATTATTTAATTGTTCAGAGTGACTGGAGCACGATCGGCTCTTCATTCTGGTTTCTCTTGGATGGTAGCTTGCTTCCTTTTGCTTTTTCAGGACTCAGAAATTTTTTTGTCTTTTGTTTCCAACATGAGTTATTCATCTTCCAATTCCATCCTTTTCACTTTTCAAACTTTTTAATTTTGATCATTATATATGCTTATGTGTTTAATTTTTTCCCCTACAAACATTTTGGCCTATACAGTTGCAAATTACCCCTTTCTCATCCCCTCACCCAAGTCTCTTTGTCAGTGTCCTGTGCTAATTTTTTCTCTTTTACAGTAACTTGTGGAAAGAAACTATCAATTGTTAAAAGAAATACCTTCTAGAAGGAGAGAACAGTTGACAAACAATGGTCAGTCGCATTTACAGAGGCAGATACTGTCCCAGGCCATCTTTGACTCATTTTTATTCTTTTTCTTTTTTTGATGAATAATTCCTTCATTCTTGCACTAATAATTATTACATTCCTGTTAAGTACTAAGTTTTGTTCTGGGCACTGGGATACAGAAAAGACTTCCCTTGTAAAGTTTACATTTAGATTTTAGTGATTGTTTACTATTTTGATAGGAGTTTGAAAAGACTGAAAACTTAACCAATGACTACAATTTAAAAAAAATAACCAAGCATGCTAAAGCAGATACTTGAACACTTGAGTTCTAGTTCATACTTAAGTAAATTATAGACTAGTACTTTGGAAAAATACAAATCCGTAAATTACATTTATTTATTTTCACAGAAGTTCTTGTTGTTCTTTTAATAGATTATTTCAATCAAATATTATAATTTTTATACTTCATATTTATTTTTTAGAAACTGGCAGACCTTTCTCTTCGAATCCAACAAATTGAAACAACTCTCAATATTTTAGATGCAAAGGTTTGTATTCTTGAATAATTTATCAACTTTTTCATCAGTCTTAACTTTAATTATGTTTGAAAATGAATTCAGTGTCCTCTACATCCATGTGGTGGTACAATGTTGTTTTTCAATTTCTTATAAAGCAAATAATATTTACTATGAATCATTACCTGAACCTATTCAAATATACAAAGTTATCAATGATTTCATTTTGCTTGGATCATCAGTCAACACCCTTGGTCCAGGTGATCAGGAGGTCACTAGACAATACTGCATTGGTCAAGTCCTCTTTCAAGGAACTCTTCAAAATTCTGAAGAGACCTGATGTCAGTTTGAAGAATAGGGCCATGAATCAGGCCATGGTGTTTTCAGTCACTCGCTATGCATCTGAGAGCTGGACAGTGAATGAGGATGGCAGAAGAAGAGTTGATGCCTATGGTTTGAAGTGTTGGAGAAGAGTACTCACTATCTCATGGACTGCGAAGAGAACAAACAGCTATGCCTTAGAAAAAGTGCAACCAGAGTACTCTTTGGTAGTAGGGATAATGAGGCTTCATCTCTCATACTCTGGATATGTTGTTAGAGAGGCTATTCCTGGGAAAGGGGCATCATGCGAGGAAAAGTCAGCAAAGAGAGGAAGACCCCCACAGAGATGAACTGACACTATGACAGTAACATTGGGCTCAAGTGTGTGAGAGATGATGAGAATGGCACAACACAGGACAGAGTTCAGATCTTTTATTCATAGGATCGCTATGAGTTATACTTGATTCAATACCACCTAACAACATTCAAATATAGACATGTGCACATAGCTCATTGCAGCACTAATTGCAGCCAAAGAGTAGAAACTACCTAAATGACCATCAGTAAATAGATGGATAAACAAATGCATTGGGAAAGTCAGAGAGCTCTCCAAAGTACTGAGGAACAATGATGTCTGAAGACAAACGTGCACCTGATCCAGACCATGTTTTTGTTGTTGTTGATTGCTATTGAGTTGAGCATGACTCACAGCGACTCTATGAACAAAAGGCCTTTCTATAACTATCGACATTTATCAAAGTTCATGAAATTTCCAGAGGCATGTTGTTTAGGAAGCAAATGCTACTCCTGATGCAAGCCATAGACTTTGCAGTTACTTGCTATACATCAGAAAGCTGGACAATAACTAGGGATGACTGAAGGAGAATTGATGCCTTTGAGCTTTGGTGCTGGAGAAAAGCATTGATTATACTGTGGACTATTAGGAAAACAATCAGGTTCATCCTAGGGAGGGTGTGACTAGGCTGCTCATTGGAGGCAAAGATTCTGAAGCTTCGTCTGACAGACTTTGGACATGTTACAATGAGGGACCAGTCCTTGGAGAAGGATGTCATGCTTGGGAGGGTGGAGGGGCAAGAGAGGAAGCCCCTTGAGGAGATGAATTGATTAAGTGACTGGGGAAATGGAGGTAGATATGTCAGAGACAATAAGATTGGCACAGGATAGAGCTGGGTTTAGGGCTGTTGTAGGGTTGCTATGAGTTGCAGGTGACTTGATGGCACATAATAATAACAACACATACCATCGAATATTAATCTGCCAAGAAGAGAAATAGTTCTGCTCCATTCTGTAACATAGAGAACCTGAAAACATGTTGAGTGAAATAAATCACAAAAGGACAAATATTGTGTGATCTTGCTTGTATAGGCAAACATATAAAGACCAAGGTCCATTTATTGATGGCTATGGAGGGCCACAAAGGGAGGAAAAGGAATTATTTGTGGAGTTAAGAGTTTCTCTTACAGGAGATGGAAAAACTTGGCATCTGATAATATTGATGATTGAACAATATGATGAAAGAAATGCCACTGAATTATACTTGTGAAAAATGTAAAAATGCCAATATATACTTACCATCCA